TAGCACTGCGCGTCACGAAAACCATTTCCAACAGGCAACTGCAGACAAATAACAACAGCTGCCCACTTTAATGGCTCCACACTGAAGACTGAATAACAAGCAGGCGAGAAAGAATTGACAGCAAGAAACTCTGGGAAGGAACTAATCGGGAACCTATTCCTCAACAAATATGCAGGAGAAAATGGTGGTGGATTGAGCACTCACACCGAGGAGACCATTGGTTGACATCATGCTGAACGCAGGCCGTAGCTCGAGTGAAAGATTAATAGGAAAGGAGCAGTTGGGCTTGACTGTGAGGGTGACACGGAGGAGACTGTGGCAGGAGGATAAGGGGAAAATGGGGGACTTTCGGTAAATACGAGCCCATAGGACCTCAGAGAATGGGAGAAAATAGAAACTTGCTGTTGAAATCCCATGTTCCACTCAAAACCCAATGGAATAATAATATAATGGGGACTAGTTTCATCAAGCGAGAACCTAAAATATCTGTGACGTTTTTGTTGACTGACTTATTAGTTCTAACACGAATCTATGATTATATTCAAATATCTTTAAATTTCAACATCAAAAACACACGATAAAATGTCTAGAAAATCAATAAGATATCACTAAGCTTTAGTGTCGTTTTCGTTACCAACCAAAATCAGTTGATATTCAAGAGTCGGTTTGTAGGGATTTGATTGGTTACAGGATTTTCATCATGATCTGACAATAGTCAGAGAACCATTGGAAAACCCGCTTGGAGTACTGGACAGCTGTTTCGTCCTAGTTAGGGATTCTTCAACGGTACGCACCCATCACCAGCGGGGTTCAAACCTAGGACTTTCTGGTTACAAGGCGAGCTTGTAGACCATTAGGCTTCTGGGATCCTACCCAATGGCCGGCCCATGAATTCTAACTTCTGCCAATTCACGATATAGCGCGACCCCTATCCAGTGTCTTCGGCGAGTATTTGTCCTCACACCCGACCTGCTGCACTCCACTGGTTTGTGGAGTTCTCTATCCAGAACTCCACGATTTTAGTGATCTCTGATTAATATTGTTTCGTGATAAGATCTACATTGAATTTGACCCAGATCCATACGGAGTAAAAAACACAGTATCGATCCAACGCATCACTAAAGCTTGAGAATGTCATAAGATGACAAATAACGACAGAACTATATAAATGATACCAGGTGCAGATTATGTCACAAGATCACCTCGATTACCAGTTACTTACAGTCATACTTCAAGTGCCATGGTTTGATTTCATAGAAGAGAAAAGTCATACACAGCTGATGCTTTGGCTAGAAGGATACACCACCTACAGCATAAAAATCACATTATTATTATTATTTTAATTTCTTTGGATTCCGAGTGATACATAGGACTTCAACAGCACACCTTTGTGTTACCGCATTCTCTAAGGTCTTCTTTGTGTGGCTCCATGAATTCCAATGGTCTTTATCCTCCTCGTCCTCCATGTCACTCTCGTGCTCATACCCTACTTGTTATTTCTCATTCAGCTTCCACTGGACAGCCTGTCGTGAGATGTTACCTAAAAGTCATATATATTTAATAATAATAATAATGTAATAATTCCCATTGTAGCATTAAGAACACAATATTCAGCAAAGAGACTCTTTTCAACAACGAATTTATTATCAAGCTGTACAATCGTATATATATGGCTTTATTTTAAGAAATTATTATTATTATTATACGAGTTGATCACGGATTGATATCAGTTAGAGAACCATTGAAAACCGGCCACAGGGAGTACTGGACAGCTGCTGTTTCATCCTAGTTTTGGAATCATCGGCAGTACGCACCCACTGGGATTCGAACCCAGGACCTTCCGGTTACAAGGCAAGCTGGCTCGTATACCATTCAGCCACTGGGACCCGATTTAAATGGCTCGTGAATTCTAACTTCTACCAATTCGTGATTTACCGCGACTTCAACCATTGTCGTTGGTGGGACATCCATCCACACACGTGACATCTAACTGGACCTCACTGGTCACGACTTCTCATTAGAACTCAGGAATTTCCTACCTGTAGCAAGTCACTAGCGAGCATCAGATTAACTTTCTATAGTTTGGTTTGTAAGGATGAAACAGCAGCTGTCCACTACTCCCCGGTTTCCAATGGTTCTCTAACTGATATCAATCCGTGATCAACTCGTAAAACATAACTAATCCTTACAAACCAAACTGTTGTCTGTCTGTTTGCCAGACAATGTTACCACATAACGAATTATGATTCGTCCATCCCCCAACCTCACTCTTTCACATATGAATCAGATAGTGAAAAGGCTGTTTCGTATTAGATGGCTGGCTGGAAGCGATCGGAAAGAAGCTTTTCTTGATGTAGGTTTCGTGCTTGTTGGCACTCACTATTCAGTCGGAGAGGCCCACCTTCAACCTTGAAGGGACTCATGTCTCTCCTGATATTAGAACACAAGTCACCCAGTTCTGCAAATAGAGACATTACCACAGAGCTATTCGGACTCCCGATTGACCTCTTTTAGAGGTAACTTCTCTGAGTGCGGCCCTCACCGAGTGACGAATCTCAGAAGAGGCATGAGTTCCTTCAAGGTTGTAGATATGCAATGCTGATAAGTGCCAGCTGGTGCGAAACCTCTGTCGAAGGCTTCTTCTCAATAAATAAATGTAATTTAAATATCTCATATATATATATATATTGCCATGGAGTAAAAAATCATCACAATGTGATAAACAATTTCATTATGAAAAAACACGCTGTTTTTATAATTTCACACGCCTATCCAATCTAACAATCTACACTTGGTTTTGTTATCTTTATCAGCTGGCCAATTTGACAATGGAAAAATGTCCCCATGCTGAGGAACGAGGATTAAGTGGTTGCATAATATAAGCCGAGATTTTGTAAATTCTGATTAAGCCACTTGCAGTATTAAATAGTGAAACGTCTATAAAAACACCATTATCGTTTTGTTTTTCATTCATTGGGATATCTCCTCAAGTTTGCCGAAGCGATCGCTATCAAACACCGAAAAATCCTATTGATGTGTTCACAAAGAAGCACCTGTCGGTCGCTGCTTGTCCTGGTAACTGGACGCCATTACGATAGAAGACCAAAGACTTGGTAAAGGAATATACACCTTATCATCTTCAACGCACCATTCACACAGATCTTCCGAGTGTTGTCCTACTTCTGACCTTCCTTCATATTTTGTGTGTATGTTTCTTAGTGTTCCTTTCACGTCTCTCATATATCGCCACAAGGCTGTATCGTCATTTGCTTTCTCTGACATATTCAAATCTATCTGCCTGGTATTTGATGTTTTTTATGCCGATGAACGCCTATCTCTCATATACTACTGATAAACCTTATCAGTATGACACGCCATATATATATATATATTGTGGGAAATTTAATAGCATAGAATTTAACGTTGTAGAAAAGAGGATTGATTTAGAATGACAAGTGGAACAAGTGAAACAATATGGGGGACAGTTCAAAGTGAGAGTAGTAATAGTAACAATTGACGTAATAAGGAGGAGTATACAAATTGAATAGACAAAATGAAAAATTGGTAGAGCTAATTAAGGGAATAAGACCATGAAAGTTAGAGGGTTTGAACGAACTTTTTCTGTACACAGAGATCTAGCTTCTTTGTTTCGATAGCCAAAGATGGCTTCAGCAGTACAACTGAGTCGGGTACGTAGTGAGTGATTTGGGCAAATTACTCTTTGCCTTGTAGATGACTTTAAAGAAGGAGGCTATAGAGACAACTGGGTGATCATTATCGACCAGATGTTCAATGATCGCGCTACTTATTGCTCCACTTCCACCTCTTCATAACTACCATTCAGGTTAGTGTTCTCGCACCCTCTTGGACAAAACTCGAGTCAAACGACCGATAAACCTAACTCCACACGAGCAGGCGAATTGATAAGCACACATAGAGTTGGTCAACAGCGGGATCTCGTCCTTCAGGTAATTGAACAGTAATGGTTTACTAGTAAAGGCTATTCTCAGAGATGCAGCAGGGAATATTCTTTTCAGGGGCTGTGTTACCCTTCGTTTCATGAGGTCGAAAGCTAAGTCCCCTTTGAATTCCAAACTCATGTAAAGTATTTTCTTGGGTACGGTTGATAAGTCACGTTTTATAGGCTTTGAATGTATATTTTTATCTATAAAACGTGGTGGAAATCCATTTTCTATGAGGATTTTCCTCAAAATGTATAACTAATCTTGCACATTATCAGTGCTGCATATGTGCCGAATACGAGTGGCTAGCGAGCGTAATCAGGTTTCGTTTACGACCAATGGGTATATCAAATATAATTAAAGAAGTAGAAATGCTGAAATCCTTGAAAGTAAGTCTCTCGTATTTCTTTTGAGTAGGCAGAAGAATAAGAAGTTTCTAGTAATTGTCATCAAAGTTGAAAAGTTCACTAAATGAAGCATATTTTTTATGATTGACTAACCTTCATCAATGTTTACAGACACACACACATACACACCCACGCACTCAGACTCTCACAATAACCATTTCAGTTTACATTTATTTAATTGGCACTACTGTCCAGTGAATTATCTATTTTAATTAACAAATAAACAATGGAAAGGTTAATAAATAAATAAATAAATAAAACTTGATTAGAAACAAATAAAAACAGAGGCATACTCAACTATGACCTTTGGAGAAAGAGGGGAATTCGGTATCTTTTGAGGAGGAGTTTATCGATAGAATTCACTAGTCTTTTTAAAATCTGATCAAATATATTCCTTCGTGTCACACAGTTCACTAATGTGCTCCTACTGAGCAGTGAGTGTTTCAAGAGTGACTGCACTTGCTTTAATATTGCTAATATTTGGTGTTCCAGACAGTAGGAAATAGTAGGTCTACTTCATAGCTGTTCCTTTCATGTAAGAATAGTAAATACCATATACGCCTCACTTGTCGCCGGTGAATCAGCTTTTTAGGGATAATATAACTTCGTTCTCTCTCTTGGTGTGAAATCCATCCCTTAACTCTGTCAACTTCATGCAGATTCAGCGTTCAAATAAAATATTGGAGTGTGGAGTTATCCGAGTAGGAACAAGTGAAGCATATCTTTATGTGAACATCTGACAGTCAGATATGCAAGAGGAAAATATTATTGTTTCGATTGTCTTAGTTAGGTAGTTAGTTAGTTAGGTTTGCACATATGTGATGACCTGATGTGTTGTGACGTTAGTGGTCTTTACTATATTGAAACATTTTACTTACCTCTGTGTGACAGTCATTTCAATTTTCACCCTCCCCCATACACCTAGTTTAGTTATCATGAAATACTGTTAAACGTTAATTGTGACAAGTATAATAATTATCTGCAGATAGAGGAGTAGTGCATAGTGCATTGATACTGGTGAGTGGTGAATGGTGAGTGCCTTAAACGAGGACAACATGTCTGCTGTCTGATATGTTGTTGTATTTCTCATAATAAATTGTTTTTGCATTGGATTTACATTTTCAAACTCATGTATATATATGTATAACTGAACTGAATTGTTGTCATTAAATTTCGTAACATTTCACTGACGAGATATATGATGTGTTTTACTCCTCACTCACTTATATAATGCATCACACTACATTACACTACATTAACCCCGTCACGCTACCTCACCCTCCATTAGGTTTGTAAATTTATTTCACTCTTACTTTTCATATTTGACCTCGTTTGTCTCAACTGAACTGAACTGAACTGAACTGTAATCATACCTTATATATGTCCAAACCAAGTTCACTTTTAACGGTTTGTAATCATACCTATTAAGGAGAAGGCTAGACAAGATCACGATGATGATGATGATGAGTGTTGGTGATATCAAAGTGATAATAATTGACTACTTATCATCCACCACCCTCCCTCTCCGTCTCCGTCTGTCACAATCATTTGTCATCCCCCTTCCTCCCTATCAGGTTGGGTTGGAGGGAGGGTTAACAATTATATTTTCGTTAACAATTCGGCTACCCCATCAGTTTAGTTTAGGTCTGATTCGACCTAACATGGATTGTGTTTTCTGTCAAATCGCTCGCTGTACGAAGCAGGCAGGCAGGCAGGCAGCTCAGTCACCATCCCTTTATTTATCCGATGTCTATCGGCGAGTATGTATGGTATTCACATTCATGTTCTCATACCTTAGTTGGTCAGGTCAACCTGGTCCTTGACCGTATCATTCATTCACGAGTTTTCATTGGAACCACAAGCTATTGGAATTCAAGCAAATAACTACTATTACTATCATAGTAATAAGTATAATTTTTAAAAAGATGCAATTTCTAGGATGATATTGTAGCGCATGCTACACCAGACAACATTCATAAGTAGTTAGTACACAGACATGATGTGCAAGAATATCAACAAATAGTCAGTTAGTCAGTTAGTTAAGAGAAGAAATGAGTGAGTGAGTGAGTGAATGATACCTTGTGAAACAACATAGAAAACATAAAAGAAGGACAAAGAAGAGCGACACTTAAGGCAGGTGAACAATGTCATCTCAACATACATGGTATATGCTGGGTCAGTGGTTCGAGTGCTCAGTTGTAGTGTGTGTGTGTGTGTGAATGTGTGATTCTTCAGGAAGTGTGGGGAACGCACTGTCAATACTAGTGCGTCTCCATCCGTCCGTCCGTCCGTCAGTGAGTGAGAAGGTGGGGTGAGTGAGTGAGTGAGTGAGTCAACTGACGGAATCCAATCATCGGTGAAGTCCAACTCACCAACTCCATTCGGTGATGTGCAGCAAATCGCGACCAACCAACCAACCAACCAACCTACCAGTGTCACTCACGAGGATTTCTCATCTCTCCAATTAATTCTACCTCTACCTAGAACTCTGGGAAATCTAATTCTGTAGTCAGTTGCTAGTGAGAAATAGAATAATTTTCAAGTTGTGATGTTCACGGACTGACTGATGGGATCTGATCTGATCTGATCTCTATCCATAGCTGTTCATGTTCACTTCATGTTCATGTACTTTGAACCAAGTGAAAATCCCTGCCAACCAAAACTTGAAAATTTCGTTCCATTTTAACTGACATTTAGACAAGGAGAATTGTAAATATCACTGAATTGCATGTAATTGCATGTAATAAAGCGTAAATTTTCTTCAAAATCAAGGATTCCCAGCTGACAGACACTAAGTAATGTTACATTTGGTTAAGATGAAGTCAAAGCAGGTCCCGTCTCGTCTTGTCTCATTTCGTCTCATCTCTTCCCATCCACAGTTACTGAGGTGGATGTTTGTCTGGATGTAAGACTGGAATCTGCAACTCATTCACGCATTCACAGTGTGAAACATTCCTATCCATTCCACGGGGACAATGGGCCTGCCGGCTGGCCGTCTCTTTCACAACGCATACCAGTTCACACACACACACCGAAAGGCTCATTCCTTGTGTTGCATTCCATCTCATTGACGTATTGGATGACGGACGCTGCAGTACTGTCTTTCTCATTGGAGATACTGTCAGTCCTTGGAGATGCATGTGAATTCGGTTCAGCTATTAGTCTTCAATACAAACAATGCGACGATGAAATGCACATCGATTAGATTGCATTACAGCATTGCAGCATCAAGTAAGTAAGTGTGTGGGGCGAGATAAGAATATCCGCTGAGTTTTCAGCCTCCTTTCTCATTCCCTATAATCCTCTAATTCCTCCAATACCGGGAAACAGATGACATCTCTCTCTCTCTCTCTTCGCATATGGCGTCAATATAGACATCAGTTGTGGACTAGAAATACTTGAGGAGAATTTCACTTAGTATTCATAGAATCAATCAATCAATCAATGTATCCATCCATCCATCTAGCCACTTTGTATACTAACTAATATCTGAAATTATCTCGCATAACTAACTAAGTAACTAACTATCTACGTCTTGTGCTAGTCCTAATCATCTATGCTGAATGTTTTCAGCAGGTGTATGTATGTATGTATGCAGGTTGTTGAATATGCATAAAATCAGAGAAAATGCGTCAATCGATGAAAACTGACACGCGGATCGAATAGGATAGCCTTCATGGGAATTGAATTATCTTGTGTAAACTAATGTAATGTTTAATATGCATACGCCTAATTACCACTTCTTCTGGACATCTCCGGCTTCTTCTTCTGCTTCTTCTTCTTCTTCACCCCACCCCCCACCCCAACATCATATTTATGAGATCAATAACTGCATTATTTGCATATCTACTATTGTATCTGGATGGATATTGAATTACTTACTCACTTACTTACGGTTTATTGATGCATCTAATTAGAAATAAGAGACCTGCGTGACACCACCACATCCTGCCTGCCTGCCTGCCTGCCTACCTGCTTGACGTCTTCTTCTTCTTGCTTTAATCATGACAGCGTGTAGCGTGTTTTATTTACACAACTATCTCATGACACACACACAGACACAGCGTATCAGTCTCAAGTGTACACCATATGCATGGGCGTAATGAGCTTTGTTTATGAGCCAGGTTGGTAGGTATGCAAATCAGTGTGAACGCTTGTACTGTCCACTCATTCATTCACTCATCCATTCACTCACTGCTTATAAGACTAACTACCTATGAAGTATGTAAGCGAGTATGCAGGTCACCGACCGACCACGACTTGACCAGTTCAGTTACACAACGTTGAATATATATTTAGACATAATCAACGTACTCTGTCTGTCTGTCTGTCTTTCTGATGGTTAGTTAGATAGTTAGTTGCTTCTATGACGCATTACAACACGTAATGTGGCTACGTGGCTAACTTGAAATGGTAATAATTTCCGCTGAAGGTAACTACTCTCCTTCCTTCGTGTAGCTGGTCCTGTAGCTGTAGTCACCCTAGGGAACAACTTGACGTCATCTTTGAATTGAATTACATACAGTGTACAAGTGGACATTCTGAGAGGTTTCTTGGTGGAAAGATCGTCTTCTATTCGCCGAAAGGGAAGTACATCCATGCACACACCCACATCTCCATGAAAGGTTTTACAGGTAGTTATCCTATCCTATCCTAACCAATCCGATCCGATCCTATCACGACAACACCACAACTCATCCACTCACTCACTCACTATTCGCATTCACAGTCACTACCACTTACAAAGTGGAACTAAACCTACTGAAGACAGTGTGCTTCTGATGCTTCTAGATGTCGTCGTGCATCACCACCACCACCACCACTCGAACTCCTTATCCTAGATTTAACCCTAATACTGACGTGATGCTAAGCTTAACCCTAAACCCTAATCTAAAACACACCATAACCCTCGCTACCTAACAGAAGAGATTTACAGAAACAGTACCTAGAGAATAAGTGTCATACTGTGACTGTGTCTGCATACTCCAGGTTCAGAAAGGCAGCCAGACAGCCAGGCAGACATGATTTGGAATGAACTTTCATAGCATTGACTCCTGTATCTGATTAGTTCTTGAAGATCGACGTTTGAAAGGAAGATCTGTGCTGTCTGTGTCTTAGCTCTGATACTTTCACTTCGCCTTCAGTGCAGGCGGATTTCCTGCAGCAACACTGGCACCACGTCTTAATCACCAGCCTGTACTTTCTCTCTCTCTCTCTCTAGGAGTTTCCGCAACAAGCTCACACTCTCCTCTACTGGGCGTTTTGCTTTTCAGCCCAGATGCAGCAATCACTGACTGACTCACATTACTCGCATTAGAACAACCAGACTTAGTTCCGCGAATACTCACATTCTCCTTTTTCATAGTGCATAAGGTCAGTCAGGCCTCAATTAGCACTGGGTAGAATTAAGCCAGCCGTCAAGTAGCTCTCACTGAATAGAATCGAATTATCATTCATTGGCCATCCGTATGGTATGCTAAGACATTTTTGAAGACATTCTCACGAACTGTATCCCACCCTGACACAAATCACTGAGATTGTAGAAAGAGAGAACACTTTTAATTATTTGGAGAATTTTATATTTTCATATTACAGTATAGTGTCACAGCTAATCCGTTGAGTGAGGTAGGTCCACTGGCGGTATCCTCCTGCAAATAAGTAAAATATGAGACTAGCTGAGTTATTCAAAATGATCCAAATTAATATTCAATTTAAATTTTCAACTTAATCTTAACACAAATCAATGAGTGGGTTCTAACAATTCGAAGGAATTAAAATTAAACTTACGAGATTGAAAACAACAAGCAAGTAATCAGCTTGCCCTCCACAACATCATAATCAGCAGCGTCTCGAAATGAGGAAATGGGGAAAATATAACAAAGGGAGTGTATTATCCATCCATCCATGTCTTGGCACCTATTCCTAGGATGGCCGCTGCATTCAACTTTCCATAAATCCAAATCACTAAAAGCTACCTGCATCTTGTATGAGCTGAAGAAGCTATCTATCTATCTGTGTATTTATCGATCAATCCACTCACTCACTCAGTTAGTCAGTCAGTCAGTCATTTTGAACATATTGATTTTTCTTTTTGTCTTTTGCCTCCTCCTCCCTCCTTGGATTGTGAAATTTAAAATTTGCCTAAAAGATGATGATGATGATGATAAATAATGACTTCTTTTAATTTGAAGAAGAAGAAATTATTATTATTATTATTTATTAGTATTAGTCTTGAGCTATCTATCTATCTATCTATGAGTTAGAGAGCTGAAGAAGCCTTGTAAAACCAGTTGAGTGGATATGGGGGAGGGGAGTATTGGACAGTCAACTGTTTCGTCAGCCTAGCTAATTCAGGGCACTTCAGCAGTACTCTTGCTTGCCTTGTAACCAACCAGAAGGTGGGTGCTGGCTGGGTTTGAGTCAGCCCTGGCGGTTTACACACAATGATAAGTTCTTATTGGTTTTTGTTCCAAGTATAAAACACACACACACACACAGAGTTGGTGTGGTCATCTCAGGCAGTAGTTTTGCTCAAAATATACTACCAAAACGAACACACAAAGAAACAAACTGAACTTATCATTGTGTATAAACTGTTGAAATACATTATTATTATTATTTATTTATTTATTTATTTATTTATTTATTTATTTATTCATTTACTGACATTAACTACTACTCCGGGAGAATTAATTACAACTACAGAAATAAAAAGGTTACTTCATTGGCATGAATGAAGCTAGCTAGCTAGCTAGCTTACTTACCATAATACCAAAGCTTACATCTCATAGTAATTTTATAGGTAAAGATAGCTAGCTATAGGTGTAGGTGTAGGTGTAGGAAGGGGTGCCGTCAACTAAAAATTATACAATTCGTCATCCAACAGTTGTAGTAAAACGCTGCATGCTAAGTAAGTAATCCACCCACACACACACACACACACACGCACAAAACTGGGAAACTCACAGAATCCTTCGAAGAAGAAGTGAAGACAGGAGTAATAATAATAATAATAATAATAACAGCTTTATTCCAAACGGTATTTGTGGTACAGGTATGGAATTTTCTGCTGGCTGGCTGGCTGGCTGCTGTCTGCAATGATTGTTTTCCTGGTTGCAGTAGACTGGACAATGAGATAGATAGACAGCGATGGGGCGGGCCGGGCCGGGCCGGGCAACGAGGAGATAGGCATCAACTAGGCATCACACATCAAAAACAATAGAACATCAGCCTGGCAATCGCTCCAGTAGAATCCGTCCGAATCAGGAGCGAGCGGAAAGCCACTAGTTGGTTGGCTGTCAGTGCAGGGTTGACCAACATGGAATGCCGGAGGAGGTGATGCGAAGAGGAGCTGATGAAAGCATGTGGACAGACAGACAGACAGACAGACGTGGCGATGAGCCAAGTGATGAAAACTTTGGCAGAGAAACCAACGCAATGGAGATGTACGGCTGTAGCCTTGTGTTCCTCTAGGAATGAAATAATGACAATAAAAATAATAATTATCATTATTATTATAGTTAATAATAATAATAATAATAATAATAATAATAATGATACTTATAATAAAAATATAAGGAAGTAATAATAACAATAATAATAAAGTTTATGAGTTCCACTAACACATGACACACGTTTAAGTAAATTATTATTATTATTATTATTATTTTCGAATACTTACCGAATGAGTAATTCAAGTCAATATTCATGGATTCATAATCACTGTCAGGCAGCTAGCTAGCTTCGTTAGACGAGAGAGACAGACGGCTGGACCGGACCGGGCCGGGCTGGGTTAGGCTGGCTGGCTTTAATCCAAATTGACAACAAGTATGCAAAATATAAGTAAGTAAGAATTATTCCAACTGGTAACTGGTCGGCTGGATACACTTGTCATCGATTTGCCAAGAGCAGAGCAGAGCAGAGCAGAGGAGAGGAGATGAATAATGCCAGGCAGTTAGGAGGAATCAAATGTTATGAAAATGATGGATAGCATTTAATCAGATTGATAACAACTTGGAATTAGACCTACGAAGATATCAAATAAATAGGTAAATAAATAAATAGATAAATAAATAAATAAATGCAGACAACCAAAATCTTCAAAGTCATATGTCTTTACATCCACAGATAAAAAGGTACTTAATTACTTACTTACTTACTTACTTGTCTCTCCGGTCAGGTCGGGTGTAGTAATACCCAGGCGTGGTTGACAAGGTGTCCTTGTTAGTGTCTTCAATTTTATTATTGTATACACATACTTTGACAACAGCGTCTCGAAATGACAAAATGGGGAAAATATAACAAAGGGAGTGTATTATCCATCCGTCCATCCATCCATGTCTTGGCACCTCTTCCTTGGATGCCCGCTGCATTCACCTTTCCATAAATCCAAATCACTAAAAGCTGCCTGCATCTTGTAACCGTTGTTTTTCACATCACGTCAGTAAAATCTGAACCAGCTGTATCCATCCATCCACCAAGGCGTCATTATTCATGCAGTTTGCCAGAAAAGACAAATCATCTTCTTCCAACTAGCTGCCTAATCTTCAATATCCCTCAATCGAACTCACTCCACATTATCTGAGTTGTTTTCATCCTCCTACTCCTCCTCCTCCTCCTGATGATGATGATGATGATGATGCGAATAATAATGATGGAGAATTAGTCTACACCAAAAATACCCCTCGCTCGCTCGCTCACCTGCATGCTTAATAAATTCTGTAATAATGGTCTTTGAATGTAATCAGCACCGCTTATATACCTCTCGCTCTCTAGCCAAACACATCATCACGCCCACCCCTACCCCAATACACACACACACGTCCCCTCCCCCCTTTGTTTCCTTTGTATTAGTTAGTTAGGTTTGCATATATGTGATGACCTGATGTGATGTGACGGTGGTCAGTAGTGGTGGTGGTGGTGGTGGTGGTGTGCAAATGAAACCGACATCTATTAACAAACAGTATTTTACCCATTAAATATATCCTATTTCAGCTATGTGTGACATTGAAATTTCCTCCACCACCACCCCGACACACTCAGTTTGATTCGTTTTAATTTTTAGCGAAATAGAATCTAAATTCTTCGTTACATTTCATCCATTCATTCATTCACCCTTGACAGGTATTACCTATGTGTTTTCACCTGTAGTAGTAGTAGTAGTAGTACTGGTAGTATGTATCCAAAATTTTGATCTACTAATATCTTTTTGTATTTTGGTGTTCCGTTTTCAGTAATCGGTTTGTCATCATCATCATCATCATCATCATCATCATCAGGATCAGGATCAGGCTAAGTGAGACGCTATCACCATCATCAACAAATATTGTTAAACGTAAATTGTGACAAGTATAATCTACACATAATAGAAGTGCATATATATTCATAATGGTGAGTGCCTTAAACGACGACATATCTGTCTGTCTGATATGTTGTTCTATTTCTCATAATAAATTGTTTTTGCATTGGTTTTACATTTTCAACCTCATGTATATATATATATATATATATATACATAACTGAACTGAATTGTTGTCATTAAATTTCGTAACATTTTACTGACGAGATATATGATGTATTTTATTCCTAACTACACTACACTACATCAACCTCGCCACCCCACCCCACCCTCTATTTGATTTGTTTGTAAATTTATTTTTAGCTTTGTAGCTGTATTTCATATTTCATAATAATAATAATAACTGACAATTTATCATCCACCACCCTGCCTCTCCGTCTGTGACAGTTATTTGTCATCCCTCCCTACCTCTCTCTCTCTCCCCACCAGGATGGGTGTACTGCCATTAGTCGTAGTAGTAGTAGTAGTAGTAGCAGTAGTAGTAGTCTTATTTACCACCACTTACCTGTGATCACATCACACCTATGATGAAAAAAAAATTAATCTTATTCGTTCGATTACACCAATCATGAAACATCATGTGTGCGTAGGTAATTCTCTGACTTGTCGACAAGCCTGTAGCCATTGCACTACCTATTTGATTACTAATATTATTCCCATAGACGGGGTTTGTGGGCGAGGATTAAATTTGTTTTTACGAGTTTGACCTCACCACGCCACGCCACGCCACGCCACGCCACATTACGCATGGATTGATATGAATCAGTTAGAGGGAAGCATTGAAAAATAACTGAGGCGTTGGAGAGTACTGGACAGCCAGCCAGCCAGCCAGCCAGCTGTTTCGTCAGCCATCCTAGTTTGGGAATCATCGGCTGTACGCACCCACTTCGCAAATAAACTATCCATCCAGCTCATAGAACACAAATTCATCAAGATCATCTATAAATCTTTCCTATTATATCTAAGTAACGAAGGAACTGGAGTGGGCGGAACAAGAAGTGAACTTTCAAGACACTTCCTCTTCAAGTAGGCCTGTTTACCAAAAGAAAAAGATTAGAAACTTTCATTGACATTGTTTTTTTAGATTTGAGTATATTAATTATGGCCAAAAGCAAATTTACTTCACCAGCTTGAATGGAAACAGCAAAAGCGATCGATTACAATTTGAATTCCCCTCGAAATAGTTGCTCCTATTTGATTTGGTATTTTGTCGTTAGAAAAATGCTGAAAATGACTGTCTTTTATACTTCATTGTTGTACAACTGTTGGATGAGATGTATAATTGTTGGAGGCACCCCTTGGTAGTGGCGAAGTAGTCGCCAAATCACCTCTCGATCGACGCTGTCTACTGAAGGCCTTTTCAAAGTTGATGAAGTTGAGTGAGTTGGAGAGATGACTGCCATTCCAAGCTTTGTTCAATGATGATCCGTAGAGTGGCGAGATTTGATCAATGCATGACTTGTTTCTCCTGAATCCAGCCTGTTCCGGTCTAAGTTTTTCATTCAGGGCGTGTTTGATTCTCTCCGGGATGGCGCGGCTTAGTATTTTGCTTAAGGTGGACAGGAGCATAATGTCGCACCAGTTCTTGCATTGACTTAAGTCTCCTTTCTTTGGTAGTTTGAATAAGTATCCGTTCTTCCAATCCTCGGGCACTTTGCCCTCTTTCTATACCTACTACAGTATTGGTGTCATTAAGTCTGCTGATGTCTCTGGGTGCATTTTCAATGCCTCTATTGGGATTCCATCTGGTCCTGCTGCTTTTCCAGCTTTTAGCATCTTTATCGCCTTCAGGATTTCTGTTCTTATCGGAGAGTTGATGTCCACAGGTAGTTCTGCTTCTGTTGCTGGTATTATTGGGCACGTTGTTAATGGCGGTCGACTAAGTCTTTTGAAGTGTTCAGCCCATTGTTTCCTGTTCTCCAACTCTTTGGTGATTGACTTTCCATTATCATCCTTTACTGGCTTAATCTGTGTCGAACTTTTGCCCGATAGGTGCCTAGTTGTTTGGTAGAGTGTGGCGAGGTCTCCTTTGCCTGCGCTGCAGCTTATTCTGCTTCATTTGCTATAGCTTCATAACATTTTCTTTTGTCTTTCCTGACACTTTTCTTTACTCCTTTGTTCAATGTATTTTAGCTTGCATTCAAATCCTGTTTTTGTTGCTCGTCAGTGCACTGGATAATCTTTTGTTTCACCATCCTTCTCTCTTCTATTAGTCTCCAAGTGTCAGTAGTGAGCCACTATTTGTCATGTCTCTTCTTTCTGACTAGAACTAGATACACTAGGCACGTAAACGGCTTATTAAATATTTCTCTTACTAAAACACAATGCAATGTTATCTTCCAATAGTCTGAAGATCTATTGGCTTTAAATTCCAGGGCAAAATATATAAACAAACAGATGGTGTAGCGGTAGGATCACAAATATCCCCTATTGTAGCAGATATCTTTATGTATGATAGCTGAGGAATACATAATACATTTAATCCTACTCTGAAAATATGGTGGAGGTATGTGGGTAACACTTTCATATTATTAAAAACAGAACATCTCTCTCTCTCTAGCTTCTTGACAAACGTCCATAAACCCACTAGTTTAGGGAATAAAATTGACATTTCAATCGGAAAATGAACAAGGAGAACAATTAGCCATGATGTTAGATTGTAAAATAAAACGAATAGAAGAAGGTAAACCGCACAGTGGCGTTTATAAAATGTCAACACATTCAAATAAATATTTAGACTTTAATTCATGTCATCCGTTGACTGTTAAGGCAGGCTTAGTGAAGTGTCTAACAAATCGAGCCAAAGCACTAAGTAGTATAAGAAGAAAAGACCTAAATGATGAAATGAAACAGATAGAGGAAGAATAGCTGGTTGGTGTTGAACAACTATCCTATAAAATTCATTAGGTAGATCAGAAAAGGCCAAAAACAAAATAAAATTAATTGTGAAACTAATAATGATCACATAAATTAGAGAGAATATAAGTCATCTACTGTTATACCATATTATGAGGGAAAATCTGAGACACTCTCTACGTAGGATTTTTAATAAAGCAGGAGTTAGAGTTGCATTCAAACCTACAAACTCACTCAGATAAGACAAGCGCTGTGAGCTAAGAGACCCGATGGACCCAATTAGACAAAATAACATAATTTACAAAATACCTTGCAGTGACTGTGAGTTAAGTCAACTACATAGACAGAACTAGTAGGTCGGGGGTAGTCTGATTGTCGGAACATAAGAATTTAGCTAAGGTTATAACGATTGATCCCACCAACGAAGATGACTAATTTAATAAATTCAGCAATTAACACACAAGCACACAACACGATGGGAGAGAGTTAAAATTCTAAAAGTAATCTAGGTAGGTGGAGATAGAGAGAGGCTGATTACTGAATCGCGCCTGGTTCATCGAGTTCACACTTAACACATACAATATGAATGACTCATCACTCATGCCGGAAATATGGAAAATACTACTACGAATCAAATCAAGAGATGGAAAAAATAATGGAATTATATAAACGAAATTAGAAAATTGTGTGAGTAGTGCCTTGATATGATTATGATCAGTATTAAATCGTACTCGAAACTTTGTCATCAGTAAATATTACTGTATAACACTCTGAGACTTTATCAAAACAAATTTCACCCATAATGGAATTACATTTATTCCCTTTTATGAATTGGAATAAAGCAAGAATAACAGTTTTTGCAGAATAAAATGGTACAATCATTGTGTATTTCCTTGGCTTTTCATCAGCTGCTTACAGCCTAAAGTCATCATTAAGTTTATCTACAGAAACAATTTTAACATATTGAATTGGAATTTTTTGATTTTCCCGTCGATTGATTGGACAGAAGTGCTCGGTCTCAAGAGGTGGCCAGCTCTCGTGGCCCAAATGGTCTAGTGGATAACGCTTTGGCATTCGAAACTATGGGTACTGGGTTAGAGCCTCGGTGGGAACATCATCACTCACTGAGAAATGCAGGTACATCCAGCTTGCTGACGAGTCCCAAATAGGACGAAATGCGCTTTATCCTGGATTCCACTGCTAGTCACCATCCACCAATTGAATTTTAACATAACTGCACAGACAGCTCATTTCTAAACAAAAATCAGTCAATTTATATATACACAATATTAACATATTTAATAATAAACACTTTATTCCGAACAACAATGATCATACACAATGGAAACTTCCAACATTACGTAATCAGATGAAAGATAGATGAAAATATCCAGTTACCACATAAATTGGGTTTCACTCGCTTGATGGAGGTCACTTCCGTAAACTTGAGGAGAATTGAACTCTTTTGCCTTTTGATAATTTTGAACGATCTTGCGGCGTCCACCTCATAACTTGTGTTAAAGAGATGCCTGGCGATGGGACTGTTCAAAGGGAAAAATTTAGACATAGGCTTAATGGGTATATGTTCAGAAAATCGTTTTTTCCAATGTAACTGCTCCTGCAGTTGGAATATTTGTTGTGTCATTTGCTATACCGTGTGAGACATGACTTCGCTCTTCACCCTTTTCTAGTCGTAGGGGACTTTGGAAATAGCGCTAAATAGTCCTATTATTATTATTATTATTGTTCCCTTGCATTCCGAGTGGAACGTAGGGCTGGCTTCAACGACATATCTCCATTTTGTTCTTTTTTCTGCTGTCCTCTTCAACTGGGTACACGATGGACCGTAATCCCTCAATCCATCCTTCTTCTCAAATGATTTCCTCCATGTTACCTTCGCATGAATAACCCACCTGTAGGTTCCTTTTGTGATTCCATTTGAGGGCCTGATGCGCGATGTCATTCAACGGCTTCCTCAAGGTATGCCCAATCCATCTACATTTTCTCCTACATATTTGTTGAGGAATAGGCTCTTGGTTAGTTTGTTCTCATAGTTTCTTGTTATTAAATTCTTTCTGACCATCTGATCCTCACTATAGAGCAAAGGCAGCTTTTGATGAAAGTCTGCAGCAGCCTGTTGGAAATCCTTTCCGTGACAAGCTGGCCAAGTTTCTGACCCCTAGAGAAGAACTGATCAACTTGACACTGGTGTTGGTAATGCGAATCTTGTTCCCTGTACTGATTGTAGAAGATATCCGAATTGGTTTCGGGTTGATGAAGGCGTATCTTTTATCTTTCCAATTCTGACTTTGACATCTCCATCCGTTCGGACTGCCCGTGGTTGAAACGATGCTTCTCAAGTAAGTGAAGGAGGTAACCTCTGTTGAATCTCTCCCGTGGATAATGATTGGTGCTGGTTGTTGTTGTTGCTGTTAACTGGCCATCTTCGTCACTTCCGACTTCTCTGTGATCACCTGCAGACGTGTCTTAGCTGCCTCTTCAGCCAGTTTGTTGGCTTTCCCTTACAAGTTTTGGAGTTTGTGTGACACTAGACATATATCATCTGCGAAATTCAGATCTTCTAGTATCTTTTTATCGGTCGTCCGGCGTGTTCCCTACTCTTCGTTTTTTTGTTGGTTTGCAGCTTGATTCCACACTGTATTTTTGGTACAAGTATGGAATTTTCAGCGTTTGATATCGTTAGCCCAAATTTTGCAGGCCGACCATAGATATCAGGTGTGCGCCGGCGTGGGCTCGAATCCCGGACCATGTGCATGGTCATCGAGAGTCCTAACCACTGTGCCACCGACGCACCGACTTCCCAAAGTCTGAAGCATAATCCAGTCCATCACAATTAAGAACATCATCGGTGATAATAGGCGCTCAGCCTTGTCTTACTCCTGTATGAATTTGTCCTCTGAAGGTCATTGTTTAAAACGCAACCATTGACTGATGAATATTACCTTGAATATTCAACATGAAGAAGAGATGATAATATTAGTAATAAATGAGTGAATCAATCAATCAATCAATTAATTAATCCTTCATCCGCCATCTTTTCGTATCGATTTAATTTTCAGATATTTCGTTATTTATTTACACAAGATTTAAAATCAAGACCATATTATCAGGCGAACTTTTTGGAACGTCTTGGTTTAACAGATACACTCAGATCAACTCTATGTGACTGGATGATAAAAGTAAGTCTACTGAAAAATTTTAATTTCTTGATGACGTTTTCTACTATCTCTCTTAGACAATTTTAGAACTGACGCCATGATGATACCTTTATTGTGCATTCTGATAGCAGTGACTAGCGCTCAGATGCATTGTTTTAATGATTAAAATATACAATTGCTACATAATGCGCGCTAAAAGATGCCTCAGGCAAAAAGTCTCATAGTTTGTGTGACGGCTAGGATACTTTTCAGCCAGCCAGATTGAAACAGGTCGATATCCGAAGAGACTACTCATTGAGTCTTTGAACTGACGTCTGATCCACATAGCAGTGGAGCAACATCAGAGGCCACATTCCCTTGAGCTGATAGCCACCAAAACGGGTTCATAAGTTATTCGATCCTTTCGCATACTGCAGCTCATGTACACCAATAATAGTAATACTAATTTGCCTTATTCCAAAACAGTACTTGTGATACAGAATGGAATTCTCAGTATTTCACTACAGTATTGCATCCAGTTAGTACATTAACAATAAATAAAATTCTACATACATTATGGGTAGTATCGGTTAGTTTTAAGAAAAACATATTGGTATGTCGGTAGCAAAGCCAAAAAGTGAACAGAATGTTTGAGGGTGTTAGAAAAGTAGATGCTAGCACATTTACTGGCGTAAGCATTCTGACTATCTCTTGTGTGAGTAATATCCCCTTCACGTAAAGGCAGTGTATAGGACTTACCTTGTAGAGTCCATGAAGTGATTGCCACCTAACAGCGTTTCTAGAGGAGGACTGAAGTCCGCTGACCCTCATCTGTACCACGTCATTTATGGGAAAATGCATGCTTTTATCCACCTGAGAATCTATTAGCTGTGGATGTACCCGATTGCCAATGCTAGCCACTATCTACAAAATGGAATAAGTATGAAGGAATAGCTACTGTACCATCTGTGGAGCGTCTTGAGTTTCCTGAGTATCTTTCATGTGGAACAACCTGATCATTGGGGTTCAGCTATATACCTTCGTTGTATGCGTAATGAAATTAATGCTTCATTATGTTACCTTCTCAGTTCAAATGTAAAAGAAGAGATATTCAAGACCATAAAAGCTGTTTGGCAATATCTTTAAGGGTTCCGGAAATCAAACTTTACATATGAGCTAATCAGGACTTTCAAAATCTGGGCAATTACAAGAAGTGAGTAAATCGGTATCATTAAAAGTAAGATATCTACATACATGTAGCCAGTAGCTGTATGAGCTCGCCTTATAACTGGAAGGTCCTGAGTTCAAATCCAGGTAGGCGCGTACTGATGATGAGTCCCACACTAGGACGAAACAGCTGCCCAGTAACCCCTCGTTTTCATTCGTTCCCTAACTGATACCAGTCCGCCGTCAAACCCGAAAGGAAGCAGTAGTTTAACATTTCAGATTTAAATTTATTTTTAAGAAATTCGGAATGATATTCAACAGTGGCATTTGTAATCGAATAGACTAAAGGGTTGAGTAACGCTCAAATTGTGAGTTAAGGATTCGTCCAAATTACTGTGTGGTATCCACAGTGAATTCCATCTATGACACTGTCATGATGAGTTAACAAAATAGACAGTAGAACTGTGTCACAACGATCCATAATCAGAAAACCAGGCAAGCATACAGAGTAAGGGGAGGTCAAATGAGGATCAAAAATCAATATCTATCTGCCTTATCTATTGTTAGGACTTCAGGTGAAGATATAGAAAACAGAGGTGGGTAATGAAGATTCCTGGTCAACACCAACAGCAACAACAACAACAGCAGACAACAATCAGCCAGCATAAATGGGAAGAACCTGAAAGAAACAACCTCCCTCACCTACCCACCTACCTGGGAAGCATCGTTTCAACTACAGGCGGATGGAACTGACTAGGATATCAAAGCAAAAGTCGGAAACGCAAGACAAACTTTCATCACACTCAAGTCTGTGTGGAGGTCAACAGCACTCTTCAACATGAAAATGAAAATAAGATCCGGATTTGCAACTCCAATGTGAAGTCAGTCAGTGCCACTCAGTATACGGATCAGAGACTTGGCCAGTGCGTCATAAAGAGCATCTCAAACGAACTTCAGACCTTCATTAACAGTTGTCTTCGCTTAATACTCAAGATCAGATGGCTGGCCAGAAGAGACCAGCAACAGAGAGGGATATCTGGCAATGAGCGAATCAACTCAGCAGGAGCAATTGTGCAACAAATAAGCAGGAAGAAATGGAGATGGATTGGTTGGCCATACTCTTGAGAAACCATGAAGTGACATCACTAGACAAGCCATCACTAGAGTGGAACCCGAACGGGAAGCGGTGAGTTGGTCGTACAAGGGTGACTTGGAGGAAGTCATGTGAAGAGGAGATGAAAGTATGTGGCGAGATTTGGAGCGGGGCGAGAACGCTGACAGAACACTGAACGCAGTTGAAACGCGCGGCTGAAGCCCTATGTTCCTCTAGGAATTAAAGAAATTAATAACAAAATAATAATTATTATCTATTAAATCATTATTGTCAATGACAACGTTAAAAGGTTCAGATGTTGATCGAAAAATCTTATATATTCTCTACTGAACTAGAATAATTTCAAAACAGTTAAATCTCGTACGATATCAAACTTTAATTCTTCACCCTGGATATAAGTGCTGATTTTTAAAACCCGCCGTTTGACGATTTGGTCGGTGTGATACATTCACAAACTATGTTAGTTGATTAAGATCAGTGCCGAAGAATTAAAAATGGTATCACAAGAGACTAACATTAAATATTAGTGTAGAGCAAGCAAGCATGAAATTTAGGTTCAAGGCTTCCTGATGATTGCTTCCAACCATCTGATAACAACAGTTCAGGGTACACATGACGGTGGCCCCCCTAGCACGGTGATCATATTTCAAAAACTTGACTGATAGGATTGAGTCTGTTCCAGACTAAGGACTAAGCATGCAATATGAGTAACTATCTTGTATCCAGTGAACGCATCCACTACAGTGATGCAGAATATCTACTGATAGCCCGAATATCACACTGGTAACGTCTCTGACTGTAGTATTGGATGATATGGGTTTGAATCGCATAAGAGGTATTAGTTCTTTCAAGATTGTAGATACATCTTTTGCTGACCAGTGAATGCCGACAGCCACGTAACCTAAGTCCGGGCATGGCTTCTTACCAGATGCTTCCAACCATCTAACTACAATTCACTGGATTAGGCTGTAAACTCCCACTCACTGGGTCAATAGTTGGCTTTCCACCGCCCCCTTTACCTATCGAGCTTTGAGTGGGTAGGTAGTATAATTCACCTGTTTTTCTGAATGTCAGTATTATATACTTCCTAATAACTAGCAATGAGATTAGACAATGGAAGGTTTTATTTTATCTCCAAAATGTCGTCAGAATCCCATTCCACTCCTTCAAAATGGAGGACGAGTCTAGTATTCATTTACTTGGTGTGAATTTCCCAAGGAAGACCTATAGAACTCTGAAGAGATCGATTTATAGAAAGCTGCCATGGAATGGTCAACTGACAAGTTTCTACAGCTGGGTACCCATTGGTCGAAAACGAAACTTAATCTGGTCGATTGTTGCTCGCATTCGGCGCATATGTAGCCCTGATACTGTGGAGGATGAGTTAAATCTTTCGGGAAAAGTCCTAATTAAAAAATGGATTTCCAAGGCGTTATATATACAAGAATATACAGTCAAATTTTATGAAATGTGACCTATCATCCGTACCCAAGAAAATATTATATATGAGCTTGGAATTCAAAGGTGAATTAGCTTCATATATCATGAAAAGAAGGATATCACAGTCTCTGAAACGAACGTTTACCAGTCGGCCATTGTTGTTCAATAACCTGAAGGACAAGATCCCACTGTTGACCCAATCTATGTGTGTTTATCAATTCACCGGCCCGTGTGAAGCTAAGTATATCGGTCGTTTGACTGGAGTGTTTTCCAAGAGGGTGCAAGAACACTATCCTACATCGTTACGAACAGGTGGAAATGGAGCTATAAGAAGCGCGATCATTGAACATTTGGTCGATAATGATCACCCTATCTCAATAGCCTCAGCCTTTAAAGTCATCTACAAGGCAAACAATAATTTACCAAAATCACTACATACCCGACTCATCTATATTGCTAAAGCCATCTTTGGCTATCGAAACAGTAAATCCAGATCTCTGTGTGCAGAGAAAGTTCATTCAACCCCTCCAACTTTCATGGTCTTAATTCCTCTATGCTAAAGTATGGGGTAATCCCTAATCATATTTTAGCTCTACTAATCTTTCGTTTTGTTTATTCACTTTGTATACTCTTCCTTTATTACGTCAATTTCCACCGCTGTTATTACTACTCACACTTTGAATTGTCCCCGGGTATTATTTCACTTATTCCACTTGTAATTCTAAATCGACTTTGTTTTGCAATGTTAAATTCTATGCTATTAAATTTCACACAATATTACATAACGTTTTTATTTTTTCAAGTATTGGTTTTTGTAGGGATTTGTTTGATTGCATGGAAGATTGAATCATGAGCTGACATCAGTTAGGGAACCACTGGAAAACCTGGGAGTACTGGACAGCCGTTTCGTCCTAGTTTGGGACTCCTCATCAGTACGCACCCACCGGGATTCGAACCCAGAACCTTCTGGTTACAAGGCGAGCTCGTAGACCATTGAGCCACTGGGACCCGATCCAATGGTCCTTGAATTCTAACTTCTGCCAGTTCACGACATAGCGCGACCACTTCGTAATGTCTTCTTTGATGAGTTACTGCCTCATCTTCGACCTGCTGTACCCTACTGGTCACGGCTTCCCAGTAGAACCCCAGGTTAACTGCCTGAATAGGGCCAGTCACTAGTGAGCATCAGTAGGGTACAGCAGGTCGAAGTTGAGGCAGTAACTCATCAAAGAAGACATTGCGAAGTGGTCGCGCTATGTCGTGAACTGGCAGAAGTTAGAATTCAAGGACCATTGGATCGGGTCCCAGTGGCTCAATGGTCTACGAGCTCGCCTTGTAACCAGAAGGTCCTGGGTTCGAATCCCGGTGGGTACGTACTGCTGAAGATTCCCAAACCAGGACGAAATGGCTGTCCAGTACTCCCAGGTTTTTATTTTTATCCTAATTGCCTGCAAATTCTGTAATTCTATAAGTCCTATGCGTCTTATGAATTATTCTATATATGACACTAATTCTTTTGCTACTTGACATTTAACTATGATTATAATCACAAACATTTTAATTTTATGGAGGATTTAATCATGAGCTGACATCAGTTAGAGAACCACTGGAAAACCTGTGAGTACTGGCTAGCTGTTTCGTCCTAGTTTGGGACCCTTCAGCAGTACGCACCCACCGGGATTCGAACCCAGGACCTTCTGGTTACAAGGCGAGCTCGTAGACCACTGAGTCACTGGGACCCGATCCAATGGTCCTTAATTGCATTTTATACTACCACTATTATTATTCTATGCATTCACACCTTTGATTCAATTGTCTCACCAAACTCCAAAATAGTTAGCAAAAAGCACACGGGTAGCCGGTGGCATAGCGGTTAGGACGCTCGCCGACCGTGCACATGGTCCGGGGTTCGATCTCCGGCCGACGCACTCCTTTACCTCGCTAAACCAGAAATAAAGCTGGTAAAGAGGAAAGGTTGGGCATGAGGCAGGCTAGCAACCCCATCCTGTAAAAATAAACACTGCGACAGGAACTTCAAGCCTCCAGCTTAAAGCCCTATGTTCCACTGGGAACGTGAAGGAAAAATCATCATCATCATCACACGGGTAGCCAAATTCCTTGGAAAGCTGTCTTTCTTCTCTCTCTAATGCTTAACTTTTCATCAGTACACATCCATCAAAAGTTCATGAAGAGCCAAGCTTTGGATATTGAAGTCATTAGGTCTATGAATTACAATTAGCCATTACTTGGTTACAGGATTTCATCATCAGCTGACTGACATCGGTTAGATAACCGTTTGAAAAATTACCTGAGAGTACGCGGTAGTCAGCTGTTTCATCCTAGTCTGAAACTTTTCATCAGTACGTATCCATCGGGGTTCGAACCCAAAACCTTCTGGTAACAAGGCCAGTGAGATTGTAGACGATTAAGCCACTAGGACCCAATCCATCCAATGGCCTATGAATTCTAACTTCTGCCAATTCACGACATAGGCCAAAAGTTCCCGAGTTCGAACCCTGCTGGTGGTAGGTGCCTACTGCTGAAGAGTTCCAATGTAGGCTGTCTAGTGCTCCCTGTAGATTTTCCAATGTTTCTCTGAGTGATGTTAACTCATGATCAAATCCTGTAACCAATCAATCAAATCCCTACAAATCAATACTTGATTGAATTAGGCATTAAGTTAGGCAAGTCAGTTAAAATTGAATTTCTCATGATGTCTCATTTTATTTCTATATTCGTTGTTATTTTGATTTTACCTTTACAGGTTCAACATTATTCACATCTACGTACAGAATCTCTTCATCTAGCTGTTAATCTAGTCGACCAGTATACATGGAGACAGAATAGTCTGCTGGCAACTGAATATCAACTAATTGGAATTACAGCAATATTTATTGCAGCTAAATTTGTTGAACGGTTTCCACCGTCAACAAAAGCATTGTGTTATCTAACTGAGGGTACATACAAGGCTAAACAGGTAATATTGATTATGCATTCACTTATATATATAAAGATTGATGCAATACGCTATTATGTTTTATGGTTGCTATTATTATTATTATTATTATTATTACTGATGTTCGTCTCTTCTGGACTGGAAACATCAGAATGGATGAATTATGGTTTATTAAACTCTCAAGTCTGTGTGGAGATCAACAGCACTCCTCAGCATGAGAGCTAACATCCGGATTTTCAACTCCAATATGAAGTTAGTCAGTGCTACTATACGAATCAGAGACTTGACGCGTCACGAAGGGCACTTCAAACAAACTACAGACCTTCATCAACAGCTGGCTAAATTAAGGGAACAGGCATAGGACCGTCAATATCAGGTTTGATTGCAGACTCATTGATGCAAAGATTCGAAAGCATAAACCTATCAAAGATCGAACCCAAGATTTGGATGCTTTACTAAGACGACACATTCGTAATAATAAAAAGACACGAATTAGATAAAATTCACAGCCTAATAAACAACGTCTTCAACGACATCAAATTCACAAGAGAAAAGGAATTCGAGGGAGAAATCCTATTTTCGGATATCTTATTCAGGCGAGCAACCACAGGGAAATTAGAAACTCAAGTTTATAGAAAATCAACTAACACACACCAAATATTTTGATGTGGTTTTGTTCTCTGAGCTGGATGGTTAGTTTGCGAAGCTTTCATCACCTTACTGAGTGACATCTTCAGCGCATACTTCAATTTTAAGTGAGCTTTTAGATTTCTCCACGAGTTTATTAATCATCTCTCCCGGTGGGTGACCTTGGACGCGATTGGTTGTTTGTGTGTGTTTTCACACCTTCTAGGTTACTTGTATTGGAACCGGTTGTTTCTTTGACTTGACAAAACCAACATCATCTACAAAATAAATTGTAACAACTGCGAAAAACACTACATCGGCCAAAGTGGACGTCCCCTTCGTCTTCGTATCCACGAACACAAGCTAGCCGTCAAAAGACATGATATCCACTCCCTCATTTCACTACACACAGACAACTACGGACATCAATTCGACTGGGACAACGTTCAGATATTAGACAAAGGAAATAACAAGAATGCTAGAGAATTTTTAGAAGCTTGGCATTCCAGTGGATCATCAATCAATAGACACATAGACATAGACAAAATTTATCAACCAATAAGAAAGAAACTTCACACACAAAGGGTCAAAATTCAAGTCAAAGAAACAACCGGTTCCAATACAAGTAACCTAGAAGGTGTGAAAACACACACAAACAACCAATCACGTCCAAGGTCACCAGGAGAGATGATTAATAAACTCGTGGAGAAATCTAAAAGCTCACTTCAGTAAATTGAAGTATGCGCTGAAGATGTCACCCAGTAAGGTGATGAAAGCTTCGCAAACTAACCATCCAGCTCAGAGAACAAAACCACATCAAAATCATCCACCTGAGCTACAAATCTTCTCTATCATATCTACACACCAAATATTCAATTACAACAGCAACAATTCAATAACACACACAAGAAATTGTATACAAACACTATTCAAGAGGGCCAGCCCGCACTCAGTGCAGCACTCCCACCTTAAGGAAAATTGAAGAAAAATATCTCATAGACATCTTCCAAAAGAATGGATATTCACGGAATTTCATCAAAAGATATATACTCCCAAGCCAACCTATCAAACCAAAAGCCCCCAAGGAAAGCATAAAGCAAATTGCCCTACCATATATAAAAGACATCTCAGAAATCACTACAACACTCTTCAAACCTTTAGGAGTTGACTTTGCACACAAACCAACAAAATTACTTCACTCAGCTGGCTGGCTCTATGTCAACCAAAAGACTCAATAGAGAAAGATAAAACCAAAACCATCTACATAATAAATCGCGATGACTGAGAAAAACACTACACTGATCAGAATGGATGTCCACCTCGTCTTTGCATCTAAGAACATAAACCAGCTGACGAAAGACACTATATCCACTCCCTCTTTCATATCTCTGTATACAGACAATCACGGACATCAATTGGACTGGGACAACTAGCGTTCAAATATTAGACAGAGGAAAGACGAATAATGCTGAAGAATTTATGATAGCCTGGTATCCCAGTGAATCGTCAATCAATAGACACATCGAGATAGACGAAATTTATTTATCCATAGAAAGGAAATCTCACAAAAACAAAGGGTCAAAGTTCAAGTCAAAGAAACAATCAGTTCGAATACAAGTAACCTAGATGGTGTGAAAACACACAAAACAACCATGTATCTTCAAGGTCATCAGGAGAGTTGACAAACAGACTCGTGGAGAAATGTAAACGCTCACTTCAATTCAAGTTGCAGTATGCGCTGAAGATGTTGTCTGGTAGGCGGCAAATCTACATCAAAATCATCCACCTGAGCTACAAATCTTCCCCCATCATATCTACGTCATTATTTCACTGAAATTGCGGTATTTTCAGTTTTCACACCGCAAGTATGACTAACTATCCAAGGATTTAGAAATGTTCTGATTTATTTCCTGAGTTGAGGAGCTGCTTAGTCTGTGTTTTCTTATATATACTTCTGCCTGATTCGATTTCATTATGATGACCTGCATATAGATCAGAAGAGCATGTAAAGTGGAAGACAGAATTTTTGCAATCGAAAATAAAGTGGCATCCACATTTTAATAGTTTTGTTCTTCATTTTATAGGATTTTCGACGGAGATGGTATTGTTACTTATTATGTAGAGCTTATCGCCTCAGTAGTAGGGGAAAGAAGGTTAGATTTTCGCGAGACCTACTAACTAGCACTAGAGTCAGTCGTTAAACTGGTAGACATACTATCTGTGATAATATTTCCATGAAAAAGATGCTGATGACATCTAGGAATTTAGGAATTCTACTAAATAACACTTAGCTACGTGAAGTACTAGCTAACTTAAAGTCCTTGCATAGTGCCGATTGTTTTTCCTTCACGTTCCCCAGTGGAACATAGGGCTACTTCAAGCTAGTGGCTTGAAGTATCTGTAGCAGTGTTTATTTTTACAGGATGGGGTTGCTAGCCTGCTTCATGCCCAACATTTCCTCTTTACCAGCATTATTTCTGACTTAGCGAGGTAAGGGAGGAGTGCATCGGTGGCCGGGGATCAAACCCCGGGCCATGTGCATGGTCGGTGAGCGTCCTAACCACTATACCACCGATGCCATAGTGCCGATTGATTGAGATGAATTAGTGTACACCCCTGACAACACCCATTAGTGCTTGCTAGGTGGGTAGAAGTGATTTAAACATTGGATGGTCACTTTACTCATTCAGGGGCGATCTTAGATATCCGAATCACTTCAAACCACAAGATTTTCGGCTAGCTACTTGAGCAAACCACTAGTACCATAAATCAGATAAACGGTTTTCAAATTATCAGTTGCAAGTTTGCAGAAATTTGACTGGTAACAGAATGGATAACAAGTTGGTGTTAGTTAGGCAGTCATTGAAAAACCTTGCAGTATTAATTAGTTGTTTCATCTTACTTGGGGGCTTCCCAGCAGCATACACCCTCTGGGATTTGAATCCATTACCTTCTGATTGTGAGACCATTTATTCTGTGACACTAGCTGCTGGTTGGAGATTTTGGAATTCATGAAACATTGGGTAGGGACCCAGTGGATGAATGGTCTATGGTCTCGCCTCGCAACTTGAAGCTTATGAGTTTGAACTCAAATCTGTGAGTGCATGGTGATGCAGATTCCCAGATTAAGACGAAACAGCTTTCGAGTACTCCCAGGTTTTCTTATGGTTTTCACATTAATTCGCAACTGGCAATTCTCACAGCTTACATAGGAAACCAAATTATCCAAATTACACTATGTGATCCAATTAATTCCATTAATGGTTATCGAAGAAGTAAACATTAGTGTGTGGCACTACATACTACTGATTGAGTTTTAATGAGTAATAAGTAGTTGTGTACCACTCATATCGAATAATAGAGCTTGTTAGATAGACAAAAGGTGATCTAAGCACAGGATGACTGTTTCGCCTGTTTGAGGATGGGACCATTAGTTGCGTACCTGGTTAGGCTCAGCTCAGACAGCTGACTCACTAGAAATCACTACTACTGATGGAACTCAGTTTTATCCTACTACTTATCTCAGTCAACCAGTAGTATTTTATTTTTATTTTTGATTACAGCTTGATTCCACACTGTATTTTTGGTACAAGTATGGAATTTTCAGCGTGGATATCGGTAGCCCAAATTTCACAGGCCGACCATAGATATCTGGTGTGCGCCGGTGTGGGCTCGAACCCCGGACCATGTGCATGGTCGTCGAGAGTCCTAACCACTGTGCCTCTGACGCAGTAGTATGTGATTTTACCCATTTATTCTTGGTTTCTTGATTACCATTTGTGGTAAGTTGAACCCAATATCCATCGTTACAAATGATAAACCGTTAGATTCTTCGTAGGAACACAATCAGCAACTATAATGAAAGTACATCCAGCTGATGTGTTCGGAATAGGAGGTAATGCACACCTTAGATTCCACTGCCAGTTACCATCAAGACAATGGCAGTAAGATCATTAGTATTTAAAGATACAATTAAGAAAGATATTGCTTATTTGGTTATTATTATTATTGTATTATTATTGTTTCCTTTAGTTCCTAGAGGAACATAGGGCTCAAACCACACGTCTTTATTGCGTTCATGTCTGTGATAACCTTTTCCTTTGGCTCCACGTCCACCTACATACTTTCATCCCCTCTTCATATCACCTCCTCTATGTCAATCTCCATGACGGCTAACTCACCGCTTCCCATTCTGGCTCCACTCGAGTGATGGCCTGTCGTGTGATGTCACTTGATGGTTTGTTTTCTGAGAGGATGGTCAAGCCAATCCACCTCCATTTCTTATTGCATATTTCTTGCACAAACGGTTACTGCTGGATTGGTTTGCTTATTGCCAGAGATCTCTCCGTGTCCATTCGATCTTGAGTAGTATTGAGAGAAGACAACTGTTAATGAAGGTCTGTAGCTAGTTTGAGTTGCTATTCATGACGCGCCAAGTTTCTGAATCGTATACTGTGTATCACTGATTTCATATTCAGGTTGAAAATCCGGATCTTATTTTCATTTTCATGCTCAGTGCTGAGTGTAGACCTCCACACAGACTTGAGAGTAATGAAAGCTTGCCTTGCTTCTCCAACGATCCTCGCATTGATATCCTCATCGGTTCCGTCCGCCTGTAGTTGAAACAATGCTTCCCAGGTAGCTAGGTAGGTAGGTGAGTAGGTAGGTAGGTAGGCAGGTGAAGGAGGCTGTTTCTTTCAGGTTCCTCTCATTTATGCAGGCTGATTGCTGTCTGTTGTTGTAGCTGTGCCTGTTTCTGTTGGCGACGAATCTTCATTACCCACCTCTGTTTTCTCGATGTTCACCCGAAGGAAGTCCAATCTTCTCTGTATGCTTCTTCTACTTCCAACTTGTTGGTTTTCACTTGCATATCTTCCAATTTGTGAGAAATCAGACACATATATCATCGATGGAGTCCAGATCCTGAATATTTCAACGACAAAAGTTTCATTGTATTCCTAGGTAACCTTTTCAGAGTTTAAACTTTAAAAAAATGAAATCATGAGTTTACTTTTAATACTTTTCTTATTATTCTTTCCATTTTTTAAAGCTGTTACAGTGTGAAATTCAAATGTTACAGGCATTGAACTTCGAAATAAATATACCTTTACCGCATCATTTTTTGGATAGAGGAATTCTAGCGTGTAGTGATTTAACATTGGATGGAAAAACCAAGGTAAAGTTTACAGTGACATATATGTATATATTGCTACACTGACGATGTGACGTGGCGACTTTTGTTGCAGTAAGCTGCTCAAATGATTTATATACAGATTACGTCAGAAATCCATGTGACAGGACACACTAGAGTATTTCGAGGAAATTGTAACACTGAAAACTAGGGATAAACAATCCACGGTTATTCGGTTGTTGTTGTTGTTGTCGCTTGGGATCACTTGGGACAGGGAATGTGGGGCTTCAACAGCCCGTCTGCAGTCCTCTTCAGAGGACACCACGATTGCGTAGAGTCTCTCGTCTCCTCCTCACCACCACACGATCTCCTCCATGTCAAGCTGGCAGCCACGCCAAACTTGTCCTTTCCCATTCACCTTCTACTCGAGTGGTTGTGGTCTACACTGAGAGCGTTGTCATTCCACGGTGTTTCTCTTCGGCACGGTTGTTCAACAATAGATTTTGATTGGTTTCCTACCAGCAGTTTTTTGTTGCTGTTGTTGTTTCAGGCCAGCCGGCTGGTCATTTGATCTTCACTACAGAGATAGAGAAAGAAGGGGGCAGTTGTTGATAAACGTCTGCACCAGGCTGTTGGAAATGCTTTTCATGACGGGTGAGGTAAGTTTCTGAGTCCTCTTATTATGATTGTTCCCTTGGGTTCCTAGTGGAACATAGGGCTTCAACTGCACATCGCCACTTGCCACTTCTGTCTTCCTTCTGCTGTACTTTTCACCTCCATCCATGTTAGTTCATACTCTTTCAACTGCTCTTTACACGGTCTCCTCCATGTCACCCTTGCACTGACGTCCCACTCGCCGAGTGCTTTCCTTTCGGCCTGGTTCCACTCGAGCAATGGTCTGAAGCGCACGCGATGTCACCCAGTGGTCTCCTAAGCGAGCGAGTGTTCCATCCATCCATCTCCACTTTCTCCTGATGGTTGACAGTTGGTTCTTGTTTTGTTTGTTTGTGCCCATGGTTTCTTGTTGGTGAATCTTCCCGGCCCGTCCATCTGATCTTCAGTAAAGAGAGAAGACAGTTGTTGATAAAGACCTGGTCTGCAATAGCCTGTTGGCTGGAAATATTCTTTGTGACCCGACCGCCAAGTTTCTGATCCAATCCGTATAGAAGAACTGACTGACTTGACGTTGTTTGCATTGAAAATCCGACCGAATTCTAATGTTGATGCTGGCTGAGTGACGAAGATTTCCAGATTGGTTATTTCAGGTTGTTGAATGTGCTTCTCGCCTGCCTTCTCGATTCTCGCTCGATTTGACATCCTCGTCGGTACCGACTGGCTGTAGTTGAGACAATGCTTCCTAGCTAGATAAGTGAATGAAGTGACCTCTTTCAAATCCCTACCGTTGATGGTGACTGGCGCTGGATGTTGCTGTTGTTGTTGTTGGTTATTTACATAGCCTCCGTCTTGTCTCTGTTCACCTGGAGTCCTGTCTTCGTCGGCTGCTTCTTCGACAAGTTTGTCGGTCGGTTTTCGCTTGTAAGTCTTCGATTTTGTGTGACATCAAACATAAATCATCCACACGCGAAATCCAGGTGTTCTAGGTTCTTTACGTCGGTCGGTCCAGGATATCCCTGTCTTCTCGTTTCCCACTGACTGTCTGATGCATAATTCAGTCAGTCAACGACAATTAGAAATATCATTGGTGATAATAAGCACTTTTTCTGACACTAACATATAGAAGAGAATAATGATTGCTTGTCAAATTTAGATGTACTCATAACCCGCCGCCAACAAGATGGGTCAGTAAAACGATCTTTCTACAGAAAATCCACAAGGATGGAACTGGATCTAAATTATCATAGTTTCTGTCCACTACATTATAAAAAAGCGTTAGTTAAGTGCCTGTTCAGGGACATTCAGCATATATACGTACAACCGACACCATTGAAGAAGAAACATCACACCTTACTGAAATATTGTTAGATTACAACAAAATCCGTCGAAATTCATTAAGCGTTACAGAAGTGTCTAACATGGAACTCTAATAATCCAATCAGCTCTTAGAAAGGATTTTGATAGATATCCGTGCTGTTCAGGCGTGGTCAACAAAGTCTGATCACTAGACAAAGACTCAAGGTGGTAATTGATAGTAGTCACAATGCAGTGAAGCTTATCTTCGTGGAGAAAACGACAATTATGTTGTCCTGTGCACTCTCACGGCATCCAAACGACAGTGTCACATCCCATTGTGCTCACCAATTAACGTGTATGTGTGGACTCATCTACAAAGAGAGAATCCTTCGCTCTCTGCAGGTTATTTCTTCGGAACATATTCCAAAAGAGGCTGCAACAACAAATAAATTCGCTGGATAGAACTGATCCCGGAAATAGATGTGCGGCATCATCTATAACGAAGTACATTACAGAAATCAGTCATAAGATCGATTTCAATAATGCTCTTAAGCCCATATAAAAAACAAGGTTAGGGTACATAGTTAAGTTCGCTGAAACCTTGGCCATATAAAGGTTTCAGCCTGTGTCCAAAGGAAAATTATTTGTTATTACTTTAAACTTGCCTTGCAAATCCAATTTATAATCAAGTCTAAATTCACTGAATGATACTTTGACCCTCTTCTTTCTTCATTTTTCTTATTTTTACACTCTTACGTCATCTCCCTACTCATTATTTGTGACCTTGTCAGGTATACAGTTTGACCTTTAATGTAGTGATTTATTCTCTTTCACCTTTTATATAAATGTGTCTGACAGGTAACCGTGTATGCATATGTGATCAGAATGTCCGAAATGTGTTGCACTAATACACATTCTATTACACGTTTCAGATAAACTATGTCTTCTTACTGTGTTGTCGAAATTCACAAAGGGAGGTATTTGCTTTAAATCAGAATTTATCGTCAGGATGATCTTGAATAGTGAAGAATGTTGTAATAGTTATCTTCGCAATGGAGTAATGGATACTCACCCCTTGAAGACTCCTCAACTAGAACGCGAAACACCTTCCTAGTAGTATTTTAGTTTTCAGGCATTTCCTAACCAATGATCCTTCATACTGAAATCTGATCTGAAAGAAATCAAACCTGCTACAAACCAACTAAAATGGAAGAGAAAGAGTCAATTAATGGCATGAGAAAAAAAAAGGCAGCGTAAAACACTGAGTGAAATCTTATTGCTGAGGGAATTTTTTGGTTGAAAGTAATTCAGGCTGGAATCCTGCTTCGGTGGTTCAGTGGTAGAATGCAATCCGAGTTTGATTTCTGGGTAAAACACACCTAAAACCTACCTGATCAATAGTTATTTTGGGTAAGAGAGAAGGTTGGGCGTGACGGTAGAATCCCCGCCTTGTAAAATTAAAAACAACACCGCTAAAGAAAAATCAAAGCTCAAGTTTGAAACCAAGTGTTTCACCCGGAGGGCGAAGAAAGTGTGAAAGAGCAGGGGAATCTATGACGCGCGTTTCATCCTTTCAGGGACTCTTCAGACAGAAGTTATCTAAATCCCAATAAATAAATAGTGTCTCCAGTGAGATTGAGAATTTAAAAGATTCAAAGGGTAATAAGTATTACTCGTCGTACAAAAGTTAACTATAGTCGCTGAGTATACTGCTGGGTGTTGTTTTGATATAAGAAGCGAATGACGCTTAATTTGGAGTCTCGGTGGAGACGTCATGAAATTGTCGAGTAGGAAACAGAACAAAACGTACATCGTGCATCGCTAGCTAACTAGTCCTTAACAAGTGACATTAAATCTACCTCCATATCATCCATCACTAAAGAATCTATAGATATCAACATGATAATAAAGACTAAGCACCATGATCCAGAGAAGTGAATCCATGATCAGACATTCGAAAATTTCATTGGATGATACACACAAGTTTACTAAGTTAAGGCTTTTTTCCACTTCTTCATAGAAGTATCTAACCTGCCATCTAGTCGGATTTCTGTGAACTGATCTACATGACTTGAATTTATATCCTTCTGTATTCAGTTATATGATTCAGTCTCTTCTTCTACGAGTGCTAGTTTCTAAGGATCTAATTCGTTTGATCTGGGGAACGTGAAGGAAAAACTTTTAAAATATATATATATCATGAGATATACCTGTATAATCCAATTGTATTTTAATCCTAATAGGTTGAATTGATATGTCGTTATCTATTTGAATTAATTCTAACTGAATCCTCGACAGTCGGCATATCAGCTTTTGTAAAGTGTGCTGCTGGTCTTTACCTATCTCGTGAACTTTTACGCTTGAAATGCGAACGTGATGTAAGCAGAGGGCATGAAAATCCACTTAATGCGAATGGCAACAACATTTTACTTGATCCATCAAAGAAATTGGAAACATGGCCAGAATCTATTGGACAAATTATGGGACAAGAAAGTTTAGTCAAACTGTTGCCAATGGTACTTATTTATATTCAAAAAGTAATCAAATATCTACCCAATTCAGATATAGAAGAAGCAGAATATGTGGTAAGTCAGTAGATGAGATAATAAGAATTTATAATTATTATTATATTGCTGTTTCCTTTAGTTGCTAGAGGAACATAGAGCTTCAACTGTACGTCTTTATTGCCTTCGGTTCTCTGATAACCTTTTCCTTTGAATTCATATCTCCCCACATTGCTTTCATCTCTTCTTCACATCACCTCCTCCACTTCATGTTACCCCACCCTCAGACTGACGACCAACTCATCGCTTTCCGTTCGGGTTCCACTCAAATGATGGCCTGGCGTGTGATGTCACCCACTTCATGGTTTGTGTTCTCAGAGTTTGGCCGAACCAATCCACCTCCATTTCTTCCTGAATACTTCTTGGTTAATCGGTTCTTGCTGTATTGGTTGGTTTTCTCCCAGAGATCCCTCCCAACTACTGATCGTTCTGGCAGGCCATTGGATCTTGAGTGGTATTGAGCGAAGACAGCTGTTGAGGAAGGTATGTAGTTTCTTCGAAGTGCCCTTCAAGACGTGGCGCCTAGTTTCTGATCCGCATAGGAGTGCTGTTGAGGGAAATAAAAGCTTGCCTTGATTTTCTAATGATCCTCACTTTGATGTCTTCATCAGTTCCATTCGCCTGTAGGTGAAACGATACTTCCGAGATAGGTAGGTAGGCAGGTAGGTGAAGGAGGTTGCTTTTCTCAGATTTCTCCCATTTATGCTGGCTGATTTTTGTCTGTTGTTGTAGCTGTGCCTGTTTCTGTTGGCGACGAATCTTCATCATCTACCTGTTTTCTCTATGTACACGTGGAGGAAGTCGTATCTTCTCTGGATGCTTCTTCTGCTAATTGGTCGCTCCTCCAGTTTGTGGGAAAGCAAAGAAATCTAATACATAAAACATTATTACTTTCTGGGTGGTGTTTCGAATACAATTCACTCTTCATAATCACATAATCGATTGTGACTACACAACATCGAAACTTCCGTTTTACAGTTTTCTTTATTCCACCCTCTTCCTCCCACTAAAGAAAACTGGATGAAATGGACGTTTTATGTTGAAGTCCTATGTCCCATTTTGAACCTTATGGAAACATGATAATAATAATAATAGTGGCATAATTTTTTTTGACGAGTCGATCACGGGTTGATATCAGTTAGATAACGAATAATAATAATTGAAAATCACCACTGCAGTACTGGACAGCTGTTTCTGTTGTCCTAGTTTGAGAATCATCGGCAGTACGCACTCACCACCCAGGGTTCGAACCCAGGACCTTCTGGTTACTAGGCAAGCTAGCTCGTAGCCATGGGGACAAGATTCAATGGCCGCCAGCCCATGAATACTGACTTCTACATTTAACGCGACCACCAATAGTGGTATACGTTTACATTTGCTCTAAAATATTGTCTCTGTTCAATATTTCTATTTCTTTTCATTTTTCGTTTAGGGTGCTTTTCAAAAATACAGTAACCGAAATTACGGTAAAATTGCTCTTTCTGATATAATACTGGAAGCTGATTATGATCTGATTGTACGTGATATTGATGAAAAGTTGGCAATCGATTCTGATCCTTTATAGACTCCTAGTACTACTACCTGCCTGCCTGCCTGCCTGCCTACATATTATGAATACGAACACAGATAAACTACTGAATACGTCTCAAATGCTGTTCATTATTTTTGTATGACTGAATGAAAGCATTTTTTATTTGATAAGTCAGTGTTTTGTTCGCCCCTTTTTGTATAGTATTTATTTGCATCAAAGCGCACACATTCACATACATGATTGAAAATGGGTACTTATTTTCTTTTTCAGTAGTATAATTTTATTGGAATAAATTTTTTCATTATTGGTGTTTTTAAATGTATGAATGACTTGAAAGTGTCAACTGTATAGAATGAAATCACTGTGTGTTCGAGTGTGCGCTTGTTTGTGGTTCTATTTGTGTTCAGCTGTGATTTTTTGCTACTGATGTGGAGATTCTGATTCATTTGCTCAAATGCTATCTTAAATTGTGTTCATTTACACTTCTGTAATGGCAGCATATTATATATACAATTATATATACGAATCTTTATTTCACTATTAATATTTTCGCGGTTTTGTGTATTCTGAGGGCAACATAGGGCTTTAAGCTTGAGTTTTGAAGTTTCAACAGCTATGGAGTTGTTGCTTATTTTATGGAATGGAGTGGTTAATTGCACTTTCAAACTTTCGAGTCATTGAGGCTTACTACAAAGTTTGGTAAACTAAACAAGATTGCATGGAGGATTTCATCATGAGCTGGCATTAGTTTGAGAACCACTGGAAAACCAGGTGGGAGTACTGGACATTTGAAGCTTTTTGGACGAAAGCTATTGAAATGTAAGTATTGTCCTTTCCATGTAGGCTTTCGATAAATTGACTTTTGAAGACTACCGTCTTTCAGGCGTCCCATGGCAATGTCGAGGGAGTAAAACCTTCCGCCTCTTTCATGTTCCATAGTAAACTCAATATTGGTGTGTACATCACTGAATAATCTGAGTAGGTGTGAAGCATGACTTTCACTGTTGCAAACTATAAATTTGTCATCAACATATAGACATTAGGAAGTTGTTTCGTCGATTGCATGCTTCAACTTTGTTCTTTCAAGGTTGGATATGAATATACCTGCTAATACAGGGCTAAGTGGACTCTTCATAGCTACACCATCTTTTGGCGGTAAAACGTGTTGTGATGAGAAGCCAACAAAATGAATGATGGTGCCATATTATTCCACACAAACCACTGTCGTTCTTGCTTTATTCAAATTCATCAAGGGGAATAAATGCATGAAATAGCATATAGGCGGGAATTTCGGATTAAAACCAAATCTGGTAATTTAGATAAGAATTTTTTTAAAAAAAACAAACGTTAAATTTGTGGCGAGAGCTATCTGCAAGTCAAATTGCAAGTCGATAATTTACGTCAATATTCACGCCCCGTATCAGGGTCATGAGAAGGAAACTATAACCAAGCTTAACCTTGAGAAATTACCAGCCAATCACAGTGGAATAAACCTGTGGATATGTGATTCACAGATATATGACTTGATTTTTCTGAGAAACGGCCACAAAAGCGATAACGCAATAACCCTCAGTAGGAAAATGGTCAATCAGAAGAGGTTGCTTCTCTACTAGAATTAATGCACACAAAAATCTATAAATATCTCTTGATTTTCTCAACAAAAGATCTTTAGCCTGACCCTTGTCTTCAGTCGTTCCAAATTAACTGAAATAAATGTGCAGATTGGATAAGAAAGGTAATATGATGATCATTACTTACAGGATTTACGTTTTTATGATTGCCATGGCAGAAACAACGGTGGGATGTCATTCTTACGAATAAATAGCAGGGAATTGAACTTTTGATTTGATATTGCTTTCGCTATTACGAGATACACGGTTGACAGGATGTTCCGACCTTAGTGAACAGTTCTTAGAAAATTACGCTTATATAGGTTTTACACAGGTAGTTCAAGTTTAAACAAAATAAATGCTTACAATGGTATAGAAGTTACTCAACGAAGATGAGAGGTACTTAGGATAATGGGTAACCAATAGATTGAGTAATAATATACGGAGTTCAACTCAATTCATTGAAACAGGAGACAAGCAAAATTATACTACATCTTGGAGGGGTAATGAGAATAAAGCCAAAGCTTACGTAATCGAATGAAAGAGAGAATAAAGACATCCAGTTACCAAGGTAGCAATGAAAGACTGATAACTACTTCATTCTGAACACATAAATTGGGTTTCAGGCGCTGATACAGATTGCTACGCCAAACTGGAGGGGAATTGAGCGCCCTCGTCTGCTGATAATTTTAAAGGATTTTGCGATTCCCACCTCATGATCTTTATGAACAGGAGATGCTTAGCAATGACACTATTAAAAGCGTTTGTTCCTTTGAGAGGTGGGCTTTTTGATACATGTTCAGAAAATCGGAGGTGTGCCTTTCCTTCTGTTTGCCCAATGTAACTGCTCCTGCAGATATACGTAAATTTGTATACACAGTTGGAGTGAACATGAATTTCATCTAAGAAAAAAGATTTATCCTTGCTAATTTGCACAGATTATTACACTTTGCTAAATCTATGTTTTTGAATCTGCTTTCGAAGTGTTTTAGTACATTTTGTTTCCATAAATGTAAAAATTATTTTAAAATTCGATTATTAATAGAAATTTCGTCTAGAAAATTATACTACTTGTCTGTAATTTTCTATTAGTATGTAAGATCATTTTAATTAATCTGAAAATCAATACTCGAGAATTATTTTAGTGCTCCCTATTAATGACTTACTAGGCGTCTGAAGTGCATCTGAAGTGTTCAGCTGGGAAGTCGTGACCAGTGAGTTTCAGCAGGTCGGTTGGGAAAAGCACACACTAATAACTTCGGTGGTTGAATGGTCAACCAGCACTCCATGTACACTGGAGATCATCGGTTCTATCTCTAGTGAGGTTATGAGTGCACACTGACGAAGAGACTCGAGTAAGAACAAAACAGCTGCCCAGTTGTCTTGGTTTTCAATGGTTAGTAATCACTCTTGTAACAGAATCTAAGTGTTCACACGATTAATTAACCTTGCCTTGATCTATTGGAATTCAAAAATCACTGGACATCTGTTTTACCCAATTTTAAGATTTTCAACAGCACACACTCTTCACTCAGTCATAAACAGATTATCTGCTGTCTAGTCATTTGGTGTGAGTCGATGAATTGAGATTTCGTTCTATTTGTGGCATAATACCACCATCAGCTAATTGAAAATGGTGACTAATAAGATTTACCAAATAAAACTGGATAAAAGATACTCACTGATTGCAATAAAAGGCAAAACTGTTATTATTATTACATTATTGTTTCCTTTAGTTCCGAAAGGAAAATATGACTTCAGCCTCACGTCTCCATTGCGTTCCCTTCTCCGCAAACACTTTCACCTGGCTCCACCTCCACCCACATGCTCTCATCTCCTCCTCGCATCACCCATCCTCTATGTCACCCTCAGAGTGGAGACCAACTCGTCACCTTCCATTCGGGTTCCACTCTAGTGATGGCCTGGTGTGTGACGTCACTCACTTGATGGTTTGTCTTCTCAGAGTAAGGCCGATCCAATCCCCTTCCATTTCTTCCTGCACATTTCTTGCACAGTTGGTTCCTGCTGCTTTGGTTTGTTTCCTGAGATCCCTGCGTGTTGCTGATCTTTTCGGGCCAGCCATCGGATCTTGAGTGGTATTGAGTAGAGACAGCTGTTGGTGTTGGTCGGTAGTTTTCTCGAAGTGCCCTTCGTGACGCGGTGTTCCACGGTGCCAGGTGTCTGATCCGTAAAGTAACACCGACTGACACATCAAAATGGAGTTGAAAATCCGGATCTTATTTTCACTTTCATACTGAGTGCTGTTGGTCTCCACACAAACTTGAGAGAAATGAAAGCTTGACTTGCTTCATCGATCCTCGCTTTAATATCCTCATCAATTCCGTCCGCCTGTAGTTGAAACGATGTTATCCAGGTAGGTAGGCAGGTGGGTTAATGAGTTTGCTTGTCTCAGATTTCTCCCATTTATGCTGGCTGACTTTTGTCTGTCGTTGTTGTTGTTGTTGTGAATGTTTCTGTTGGCCAGGAATCTTCGTCACCTACCTCTGTTTCCTGTATGTTAATGTGAAGGTAAACCTATTTTCTCTGCATGCTTCTTCTGCTGACTTGTCGCTCTTCCAGCTTGTGGGAAATCAGACAAATATCATCGACGAAGTCCAGATGCTTCAAGTTTTTTGTGTGGGTCTATTTTATGCCTGTCTCCTCGTTGCCTGCTCTCTGTCACACTATCCAGTCCACCTCAATCACAGAAATCATTGGAGGTAGTAGGCAACTAACTTTTCTTACTCCCGTCTTCACTTCGAAGGATTCCGTGAGTTTCCTGTTGTGGATTACTTGACGGCAGGCAGCATTGTCGTACTACAATTGTTGTATGACATGTAGAATTGTTGGCGGCACCGCTGGATAGCAGCGAATTAGTTTGCAAATCACCTCTCGATCGACGCTGCTCTATCGAAGGTCTTTTCAAAGTCGATGAAGTTGAGGTAGATAGAGAGAGCTAACTGTGATTCCAAGCTCTCTTCAATGATGATGATGATGATGATACATACAGTTGCTGTTTGATCAATGATTATTTATCTTAAGGTCAACACACAATAAAACGTTTCCTGCTAGATAAATTCCTAAACCAGATAGTTATAACCACAAAGTTACGAGTGGATCATGTCGACAAGTGTGTCAATAAGCACGAAACCTAGATCCAAAGTTTCTTGTCGGCAGCCTACGGTCATCATGATGATGAAATGCCTTACTTAATAAACACACTGCCAACATATTATTATTATAACTACTTCTTTAGGCTCCGAGGAGAAAATAGGCCTACAACAACACTCCACCATTTTATCCCTTTCCCTGCAATACTTTCCCTCTAGCTAACTCTACGATTACCCGTTGACTTTCATCTCCATCATCCATGTCGTCGAACGCCTTACTCTTCATTTCCCATTTGGGTCCAATTCTCTAAGGGCTTGTCTAATAATATCACTTAAAGTTCTCCTGAGAATGTGTTAGACAATCAATTCTTTTTTAGTTCGTTCCCAAAGTTCTCTTTTTTTGGCTAATCGTTTCTGAACATCTGGCCTTCACTATGGATTGAAAGTGAGTGTTTATCGATAGAAAGCAAAAAAACAACAACAACAACAAGAGCTTAACATATGACACTTATTGGCCCGTAATAACCATTGATGCATACAGGTGGACAATAGTAATTCCGATCAGTTCACTGGCAATACCTTTAACTGCAACAGTGCATAAAGTAGGTTACAAGTTCGTTTAAAACTGCAGAGAGAGACTTTGATGGCAAGTGCTTCAATAAGCATGAGACACTGATCAAGTGCGGTCTCACGACTGATTGCCTTCAACCAACCTGACATCAGATTTTAATCTTATTCTGTTCAAAATAAAGCAAAATTAAATGTTTTTTGAAGAATAATGTTATTATTATTGTTATTATTATAAGACCATCAGTTT